TTTGAGTTTATTTTTGTGTATGGTGTTAGAAAGTGTTCTAGTTTCATTCTTTTACAGGTGGTTGACCAGTTTTCCCAGCACCACTTGTTAAAGAGGTTGTCTTTTTTCCATTGTATATCCTTGCCTCCTTTGTCGAAGATAAGGTGACCATAGGTTCGTGGATTTATCTCTGGGCTTTCTATTCTGTTCCATTGATCTATATTTCTGTCTTTGTGCCAGTACCATACTGTCTTGATGACTGTGGCTTTGTAGTATAGTCTGAAGCCTCCTCCCATGACTTATTTATTCATGTTTCCTCAAAGCAAAAAAAAAAAAAAAAGTCCAAGTCTCAGTTTCTACATCTGTGAAATGGATTTCTTAAGACCTAAACTCTCAGAGCTGCTGGGAGTGCTAGAGAATACTCTTCGGGTTCAAGCCCTGCTTGTGTGACACTCAGTGGAGGTTACTCTCTGATCTCATGAAACAGGGTCACCCTGGCAGTGCCCTTGGCAGACCCAGGAGGCATTCAGGACTTTCCTTGTAAGCTTCAGTCTGGGTCACACTGTTCTCCATCCTATTTCCTCATCCACACCTTCCAACCCCGGCTGCCCACCACAACCAGTAAAGACAATTGTACAGAGTAACTTATTCCCAAAGAAGTTCTAGAGCAGGAAAAAAATCCTTCAAGAAATCACTGTAAAACAGTCTTGTTCTTTGACAAAATCTGTTCCGAACCAGGCAACTGAAAACAAACATTGCTTTTTCCGCTGGTGTCAGAAAACCATGCACTGTGTTTTGAGGCCTCCTGGAGAGGGATGAGATATTCTTTTTCTCAGGGGAGATGAAACCCAGACTCATACACTGCAGTGGGGATGGCTTCCAAGCCCCACATTCAGGATATTTGCTATTTTGATTGTATGAACCCAAGTGAGGTACACACGCTGGGGCTTCTGAATATATTTACAAGGAAATCGGCATAATGCACAGTTAATATTCAGAATATGATTAATCCAAAAGCCCCGCTCCATATTCCAATTACATCCACTGCTCCCCTCCGTGGGCTGGGTTTTGCCTAAATGCATATGGAGTCAATTGGAGCGCCAGATTTATGGAGGCTGCCGAAAGGCTGGTGCTCTGATGGTAATAAGTTATATTCCTATTATGGGGTGGGCAATAAAGAATCTGATATTTATTCTGCTGCATTTTTGAGAAACTCTTGGAAAGGATCTAGGCTGCTGGAACACAGTGACATATTTCCCAAACAAATTGTCCCCACTGCAGTTTGACTGTTTAGAGGATCTGGAGTCACTTTAGAAACCCAGTAGTCTTAAACAATTTTTTTTTAATTTTAAAAATAAAAAATAAATTTAAAAATTAAAATTTTGTGATTTAAAAATATAAATAATTTAAATGTTAAAACAATTTTTTTTAATTAAAAAAAAAGAAGCCCAATATCCAAGTACTTGGTCTTTCCCGGTGGCTCAGATGGTAAAGAATCTGCCTGCAATGAAGGACACCCAGGCTCGATCCCTGGGTTGGCAAGATCTCCTGGAGAAGGGAATAGCCATCCACTGCAGTATTCTTGTCTGGAGAATCCCATGGACAGAGGAGCCTGGGGGGCTACAGTCCGTGGGGTCGCAAAGAGTCGGACAGGACTCAGTGACTGACATACAACACACACATATCCAAGTACTCAGGGAGGTTCTCCAGAACCTCCATTAAGGCTGGGCATTTCTCACTAGCTGAGATAAGACGCCTGGTTCTGTCCGCTGGTAGTCACAGGCTGTATGACCTTGGCACAGCCCTTAGACCTCTCTGAACCTCTTTTTCTCCATCTGTAAAACGGGAATAGCAATAGCAACCTCAGAGTTCTGTTGCCAGGATTAAATGAAATGCACCTGGGCAGGCCAGTGCCTGGCACATAGTAATCATTTAATGGGTGGTTTTAAAAGAACTGGAATTTACAAAAGGATAAATGGATAAAAGTTAATTACTTCAACTCATGATGGCACCTATTACAATAGTGCATCCTCAAAAATGTGGTAATGGCACCACATTCGGGTGTAGGGAACAATTTCTGATGGAACATGGATGGTGAATTTTAAAGTTGTGCACTTAATGTTAGTGCATCTTGAAGGGAAATAATAAATACTCAGTCTCATGATTTTGTGACTATGAATGCCTGGACCAAGGCTATAGAGGGATGACGATTAGAACAAATCTTTAAAAAAATAAAATTGTATAACTAAAGAGAGGGTAAAGATCTTGAAGGTGATATTAAAGCAACTGAGGTTTGGGAAACATTGTTCTAGAAGGAGAAAAATGGTGACATAAAATAAAATCTTAGGATTAGCAGAGCAAACCTTGGGATTAGCATAAATATATGTCTATATTTTAAACAGTAAAAATCAGTAACCATGAAGGGTAAGATTGTGGGTATCCAGTGTTGTTCTGAATTCCCCAGAAGGTTATTCAGTTGCTAAGTCACATTTGACTCTTTGTGGACCCCATGTACTGCAGCAGGCCAGGCTCCTCTGTCCCCCACTATCTCCCAGAGTTTGCTCAAATTCATGCTCACTGAGTCGGCGATGCTATCTAACCATCTCACCCT